TTTTTTTCACGCCTCCCTCAAAGAATATTCAATAAAATAGGTTAAAAATAGCTTAATATATAATATTTATTAGTTTTAAATTAAAATTTTGATGACAAAAAAAAAACAGTAAACTTAATAATGCGAACATGATAATTAATAATTAATGTTTTTCGTTAATTAATTTCTCAAAATTAGGAATTAATGTAGTTACTGCAACACGCATTTCTTTTTCACATTGAGTTTGGATCGAAATTTTATTTTAATACGGCTACAGCTGAAAATTCTGCTTCACATAAATACGAAGTGGCAAATGGTATAAATATACATAAAGCTTTGTTGCTAACTTCAGGATATTCACCTTTAATACTGTTCCAAAATCCTAAAAGTGAATACGAAGAAAATTGCATTCGTAGTGAAGAATCGTATGAAATGTCAATTAATTGTTCCTCTTCTGTAGTTGTGAAATTTGATGGTGACTTCTCAGTGAACGGGTCTTTAATCGAACAGTACCGTTTCATTTCTTCTGGGAAATATTTCATGAAATGAGTTTCAAGATTCGTCAGATGCTCTAAAAATATTGTCTTTAAACTCATTGATAATTCAAGGCCATTCTCTCCAAGAAAATATTTTAAAAGTGGAAAACAAGTGGTTTTGTCATTTTCTTCTGTTGATTTTCTTTTCCATAAGTTGATTTTTTTAATAAAAGCAACTATTTTATCGTATAATTGCAGAAAATGAGTTTTTTTACCTTGTAAGGATATATTAAGTTAGTTAAGTTTTTCAAAAATATCACATAAATAGGCTAATTTTATTACAAAATCACTATCAACAAACATTTCGCTATTATTATAACCTTCCTCATTTAAATAAGAATAAAGTTCTTGTCTAAGTTCGAATACTCTTGAAAGTACATTGCCTTTAGATAGCTATCTAGAATTACAGTAAAACAATAATATTTTATGTTCAGCTCCCATTTCTTCACCTAGTTTTTGAAAAAATCTTGCTTTAACAGGTCTTGTTTTTACATAGTTGACTACTTTTATAACTATTTCAAGTACATCATTTAAAGAGCAACTTATATTTTGTGATGCTAAAGCCTATAAATAAGACAATAAGTCCATATCCTTTCTGGAGCTTTTTGTCGAATTAAAGCCTGAAGTCCACCGTACTGACCAGACATATCCCGAGCTCTATCTGTACACACGCCCAAACAGTTTTCCCATTTAATATTATTATGATCCATAAAATTAGTAGTGATATCAAATAGGTCTTTAGCTTTAGTACGTAGGCTGTCCGATAAATAAGGTACAAAGTTATTTTTAGCGTAAACAATGAACCATATCGGCCGGAAATTTCCAGAATTGATAATTTAGGTAACAAACGACATATTCTATGTGATATAACTATTATGGTTTATTGTTCCGTCAGCTACGTAATTATAAACATGGAAAACCAGTATCTATATTGCACAAAAGAAGAAGTCCGCGTCGTCATTCGGTTTTTAATTTTCAAAATATTTCTCCGACTGAAATTCATCGAAGAATAACCGAAGTTTATGGCCCACAAGTAATGTCTCGAAAAAGTGTATCGGTTTGGTGTACAAAATTTAATTCAGGTCGAGAAAGTGTTGAAGATGAGGCAAGAAGTGGTCGACCAATAAGCACGTCCACCGCCGAAACCATTGATGCAGTCGAAAAACTGCTACGATCGGATAGACGACTCAAGATTAGGGAAATGGCCACAAAACTTGATCTCCCAAAGACTACTGTGCATGAAATTGTTCATGAGAAATTAAATTTTCGTAAGGTTTGTGCGCGCTGGGTACCGAAAATGCTTACAGCAGACCACAAAACCAAACGTATGCGGATATCCATTGAGCATTTGAATCGTGCTCGTAATGACGAAAGCTTTCTCGATCACCTCATTACAGAAGATGAGACATGGGTTCATTATTCTACCCCTTACAACAAACGAGACTCGATGACTTGGAAACATCCCGAATTGCCAGTTCCAAAAAAATTCAAATAAACAATTTCCTCAAAAAAAGTGATGGCTACTGTGTTTTGGGATGCACAAGGAATTTTACTGATTGAATTTTTATCAAAAAATAAAACAATAAATGCTGACCGATACATTGAAACGTTAAAAAAATTGAAAGAAAAAATTCGTTTCAAGAAAAGAGGACAATTACGCTCAGGAAATGTGAAACTGCTGCATGACAATGCAACCCCACATTCAGCCGGAAAAACCAAAGCTTGGCTGGAAAAATACAAGTGAGAAGTATTGGAACATCCACCATATAGTCCTGATCTGGCACCTTCGGATTTTTTTTTGTTTGGTCCGTTAAAAAAACACTTAGGAGGAACTCATTTTCAAAATGAGGAGGAGGTCATGAACGCAGTTACCGAGTACTTCGATGGAAAATGTGCTGCGTATTTCTGAGATGGCATTTTCAAATTACTCCATCGTTGGGAAAAATGCATCAATTTAAATGGTGACTATGTGAAAAATAGAAAAATATGTCTAATTTATTGTGTAAAATTTTTAAAGTAATAAATTGATTTTCATTATTCAGTATATTTTTGTACCTTATTTATCGGACAGCCTACGTACCACTTAATATAGATTTACAAAATAATAATTTTTCTATAATATCTACTCCATCCATAAACCGAACATAACATATTAAATATGAGTCTTTATTACTATCGGTTGCTTAATCAAGCTGAATCGCGAAATTGTTATTCCTTAATTTATCAATAAGCTGATCATCTATATTATCTGAGATGTCTTTAATTCGCCGACTAATAGTATGATTAGACAAAGGTATATTTTTAAGTTTGTTTGCTGTGTTTAAGTTGGTTTGCAACGTGTGTCGTGTATGGATAAGACAAGATAATCGTTTCTACAAAATTTTTATCGGACATGAAATAGATCTAATAATAACAATATGTGTAAAATTCCAACCGCGCGTCGCGCCGCCCTTGTTAAGTGCTCGCGCCTCCTTTGGGTGGCGCGTCACACA